ATAAGTTATACTTCCTTATACCTTCACAATCTCTTGGTTTACACGAATGTAAATTCCTAGTCCAGCACTTATACAATGAGTATTACAGGTAGTAATAGTGCATAAGTGATGATGATCAATGACGGGAAGTTTATTTATTCTCTGTTGGAATTCTCTATTTTTACATAATCAAGCAGTGAAATATACTTACAGATGTGAATATTTTAGTGGCATGTATAAATACATGTTGACTAGTGCTATGATAACTCATAGTGTTGGCACAATAATTATCATGGTATTATGTCTTTTTCATATATTCCTTTTGAGATTCTGTTCCATTATATGTTATCATAAGATATGCAATACAGTTTCCTAAACTATACAGTAGGTCCTTGTGGTTTCTTTCATATATAGTACTATGTATTTGTTAATAATTCAAATACAAACTGATACGCAAATATTCATAACGACATTATTCACAATAGCCCAAAGGTAGAACCCATTCAAGTGTCCATCGGTGGGTGAATGAATATGCAACACAAGGTATATTCAAAAGCTTGAACAGTATTCTACCATACTGAAATGGTATGAAATGGTCTTAAATGGTTCTGCCACTGTGTAAGACATTACAGAAATTACTCCAAAACTAACACATGGAATGAACATATATTTCAATTCTAAATCATGCTATGTACCCAAAAGGTTTGGAAAAAGGGGCTGAAAAATTGCATATTTCTGCAGTCATATTCATAATAGCATGAGTCACACTGGCCAACAAACAGAAGCAATCTAAGTGTCCACGGACAGCCAATTCCATAAACAAACTGTGGTATACACACAATGGAATATGATTCAGCCCTTCAAAGATGGTAATTCTGACAATGCTACAATCTGGATTAACCTTAGGGTCATTATATTAAGTGAAATACACCAGACCAAAAAAGGACAAACGTTCTGTGATTCCGCTAGTATGAGATATCCAAACAAGTCAAATCCAAAGCCAGAAAAAGCAGAAAGTGATTCCCAGGGAACAAACACAGTTCATGTTTCATGGAACACACCCAGTTTCCTTCAGGGAAACTGACTTCCCATGATATCTCCAAAACCAATTATACAAATAATTGGAAGCCATATCTAATCAAATGAATGTAGACATAATTTTACAATTTACACCAACCTCACTCAAACTTCTCAATGGACAAAAGGCAAAACTGTATCTATGGTACCTCAGCTTTGCTTAAAACTGTATCTACAGTACCTCAGTTTTGCTTATGAAATTTAACCAAAAACAAAACAAAACCCTAAAGTCTATCCAAAAAAGGATATAAAATTTATGACATGAACTTTAAAAAATTATGAATTTAAACTGTGAAAAACCTTATTCACAAAACTTACACACAAGCCACAGAAAAATACATTTACAAAATACATATTTGATAAAGGATTGTACTCCAACTGTACCAAAAAATCTGGAACAAACAACCTCATTAAAAATGTATAAATCTGAATGCCTGGCCAAAGAAAATATACAGATAGTAAATAAGCATATCAAAAATACTCAAAATCATATATCATTAGGAAATTACAAACTAAAACAACAGTGAAGTAGCACTGCACACCTATTAGATCCAGTAAACTAAAAAAAAGTGGAGGGGGCGGGGCTTCTCTGGTGGCTCGGTGGTAAAGACTCTGCCTGACAATGCAAGACACTCAAGTTCGATCCCTTACTCAGGAAGATCCCACATGCCAGAGAAACTTAGCTGGATTTTTCCACAGCTAAACAAGGCTCACCAGTGACCTGAACACTACATGTTTAGCACTTAGTAAACAGCTTTGAAAAAGTATCCAGACAAAAACTATCACACAACAGCAGCTCTACTTGTAACAGCTAAATATCAGGATGTCTTTGGTAGATGACTGTGTAAGCAAATTGGGATACATCCAAAGTGAAGGGAAGAAAATGCTGCTGCAAAATATACCTCTTAAGCGTGAGAATTAGTTGGACCTAATTAACTTTTTTTTTTTTAAAGAGGACATATGATCATCTCTGAAACCCA